TTCTACAAAAATATTTTACATTAGAAAACACAGCTTCAAATATACACAGTCCACTTAGTTCTGCAGTAATCATTGAACATCTCAACGTAAATATATTTGTGGATAGATCTCAAATATCAGTTAATATATGTAGAAGCAAGAATAAATGTGGTTGCTATGGGCGGTCCTGAAGTAAATGTGCTTTGAAAAGTATGACAAAATCTGTTTTTCCCTACAAAAATACAGTGAAGTGACCGGTTATGTTGAGTTCGTTTGCTGGGGCAAGTACAAATGTCTTTGATCTGGCTCATCTAAGGAAAAATGTCAATGGTAATAATCTATAATTTTCAAGATATTCAAAAAAACACCTGGATAATGACACCATATCCTCTCACAAGACTCTTAACAACCATTTTTGTTATTTTTCATATTCAGCACTTTCTGGTTACACGGAATACCATCTGCACTTGTTGGCATTAAAGCTGGAGTACCTATTTTTGAAACAAGTTAAGTTTGGTTCTATCACATATATATTTTTGGCCTATGTCACATCTTGAGATTCTGCTTTTTCAGTAAAAGACATATAAAAAAAGTGATTTAAGGTTTTCTAATATTAAAACATGTGGTGCAATTCTGATGTCTCTTTCTGTTGGGACAGATGAAAAAATAAGTTAGGTATTCCAGCTTTAACTAGATACAGGAGCATATAAAACTCAAAGTACCTATATACGAAAGAGCAAATCATTCAAGTAAACATTGTTCACCGTTCTGTAGCTTAGGAGGCAATAGAAGAGAATGCTTAGAATCGAACTAATACAAAAAAACACTTCTATGGTGAATGTACAGCACATTACCTTCACTAGCACTTTATAAAGTACACGTGAAAACACTGGGGGTTTTGGCTGCTGGTTATCAAACGGTCGGCACTAGATCATAAACGGAATCGGGACGAAACTGGAAGTAAAAATCCTACTTGCAAATTAGTTATAGACTAAAAAGTCCTTAAGTGGTGACTGGTTAAGTTTTAGGTGTCTGAGTAAGATGGTTAAGGTTAGGGTTAAGGTGGTCTGAGTAAGATGGTTAAGGTTAGGGTTAAGGTGGTCTGAGTAAGATGGTTAAGGTTAGGGTTAAGGTGGGCTGAGTAAGATGGTTAAGGTTAGGGTTAAGGTGGTCTGAGTAAGATGGTTAAGGTTAGGGTTAAGGTGGGCTGAGTAAGATGGTTAAGGTTAGGGTTAAGGTGGTCTGAGTAAGATGGTTATGGTTAGGGTTAAGGTGGTCTGAGTAAGATGGTTAAGGTCAAGGTTAAGGTGGTCTGAGTAAGATGGTTAAGGTTAGGGTTAAGGTGGTCTGAGTAAGATGGTTAAGGTCAAGGTTAAGGTGGTCTGAGTAAGATGGTTAAGGTTAGGGTTAAGGTGGTCTGAGTAAGATGGTTAAGGTTAGGGTTAAGGTGGTCTGAGTAAGATGGTTATGGTTAGGGTTAAGGCTGGGTTGGGGTTATTTTATGGGAGTGGCTGGTTAAGTTTAGGCATGAATAGGTAGTTTGTTATATTTACTTACGCTTCTGTCCTGATTCCGTATATGATCTAGTGCTGACCGTTATCAAACCAGCAGCTAAAAAGGGTTTACCATAGTTTTCGGACTATAAGTCACACTTTTATTCATCTGGATGTGCAATATATATAAAATGTATATGAGTGTTACAAAAATGTCACATGTTGTTACACTGACTGTAGCTAGGGGGCACTGTAGGCTTGTCATGCGGACGATCAGCGTTGTCTTAAATCTGCCTTTTTTGGCTGATGCAACATAGACTCCGGAAGTATGGTACCCACAATAAATCAAGCAAGTCTGTATAGATCTTCAAAATCTGGGGTACCTAACTTTAAACCCTCCAACAATTGTAATACTATGCAATACAATCCATGCATTGCTCTCTCGCTTCTCAGCAAGAAGGTCCTGGGGTTTGAATCCCGGTCAGAGCAGGGTCCTGAGTGGAGTTTGCATGTTCTCCCCGTGCCTGCGTAGGTTTTCCTGCGGGGGCTCCGGTTTCCCCTACCATTATAAACATGCACACTAGGTTAAATCCTCCAGCTCTGGTCCTGACCAAGCCGAGCATCAACATCTGGAGATGGGTTCCCGGGCGCTGTTACTACGGCGACCACTGCTCCTGACGTAAGCCTTAGTGGCATCAGGATGGGTCAAATGCAGAGGATGAATGGTCCTACGGGGATTAATAAAGTGCACCTTTACCTTTGTAACTAGTTTTGTTCCATCCCATGTCTTTTACCTCGATCACATCTTTAGATCAGATTTTTCAGGTAGGAGTGAAAAGGAGAGCACATTGTGGTCTTGTATGTTTACATTATTCAGTCTATTTGGAAAAAAGTTAGGTACCCCAGCTTCAATCTTTTAATTGTTTTAGAAAGTGAAACTCAAATAAGGTATCATTGGCACATAGACTGAAAGATGTGTGAAATTCAAGTCTTAAAAAGCAAAAAAGCATTTTTAAATAACCGACTATTGATTTTTACATTGTCTATGGTCAATGTTTTTGTCCTGATCGTTACATTTTTTACCATCCATCCACCCATTTTCTACCCCTTAATCCATTTCTGGGTCGGGGAGGGGAGGAGGGGGTGTTAAGTGTCTTGCCCAAGGAAACAACGACAGCAGTCATCAGTGGGAGTCGGTGGAGAAGGTTTCATGGTGAGCTCTCTCCCACAACCTTCAGGCTCAAAGGCCAATGCTCTACCAACTGAGCCACTGTCGCCCGTACATTTTTTACCATTATTTATAAGGTAAACCAGATTGGACTTTGTAATTACGGGGGCACATAACACCAAGCCAAAAAGGTGACGATAAGTGGTTGCTAATATTAAATGAGTTCTGCCTTTGCATCTCTGTCGGCACAGTCAGTGTCACAGCAGCGCAAACTCAGCCTCGGATCTCATTCATCCACCTGTCACTGTCCCAGAAAATCTCTCATTAATTCAGCCGTCAACCCAGGATTACACCTCCATCTATTATACATTCATGTGTGCGATCCCCAAGTGCATCAGCGTTTATCAATCACCCGTCGACATATCCTCCCACTTATGTTCCTGTTTCTCTACCAGGAGTAAACCTAGTCAGCCAATGTCAACGAAAGCATCTTCCATCGACAAAGTTCAAGAAGAGGCCTTGTTGTTGTCAAACCTGGCACATCTTATGGACAAACATGGACTTTAAAGGGACTCTATGTAATATGCACCAAGTGTTCGAACAACTTCATCACAAATATACAACTTATGTGGCCACAAAATTCCAGCCTCTTACATATGTAGCTTCTAAGTAAATAAGAACGTAAGTAAGTAAGAAATCGTTGTTTATATAGCGCCTTTTGCAAACCAGAGTCGCAAAAATCTTTACAATTGTTGTGGGCATTTGTTTCACTCCACACAGAGAAGGGAGCATTGATGATAAATGCAATCCATCTGCTGGGGTTTAGCTATAAACAGTACATATTCTGTGTGTTTGGCTAGTTTTTAGGGGCTCAGTTGGTAGAGCATTGGCCTTTGAGCCAGAAGTTCGTGGGTTCGAGCCCACCTCAAGACTTTCTCCACCGACTCCCACTGATGTCTGCTGTCGTTGTGTCCTTGGCAAGACACTTAACCTCTGGGAACACCAGCCACAGTGGGGCGGCTGTGGCTGTAAAGTGCCAAACTGCTGTTGCGTCCTTAGGCAAGACACTTTACCCACATTGCCTAGAATGAGTCTGGTGTGTGTGTGAATGGTTGGTGGTGGTCGGAGGGGCCTTGTTTCTGTCAGTGTGCCCCAGGGCAGCTGTGGCTACAGTAGTAGTTTATCACCACCGTGTGAATGAATAAAAACATGTAAAGCGTCTTTGAGTGTCCAAAAAAGCGCTATATAAAACCGATGCATTATTATTATTATTAGTTTTTGCAGTATCTGCTATATGTGTGGCAAGCCAATACCATTAAACTTGGACATTTCTGTTCTCTTATAGGTTAATCTGCTTGAATCTGTGCAAACATAATTATTGTGGATTTATTTTGATTAGGAATTACACAACAAAATGTGTACATGTTTACCTATTATCTGGGAGCACAAATAAAAGTACTTTAAAGTGAAAATATTACATGCAGTCCCTTGTGACTTATTGCAATAGTCTCATCATAAAATCATCAGGACTACGTTTTGATTTCGAGATTGGTGATGAAATTGGACAAAACAACTAATTGAACCATTAAAATACCATTAAAATAAAGTACATTTGACTGTAAAAAAGATAGGCCTAAAGTTTGTAGTAATGTTTGACAGTCTGAATCCCTGTGACCACACCGCTTACAGGCAGAAAAGTGCAAAAATATTTACAAAAATAAAAAAACACATTTACAATCACAATATACTGTATTTTCAGCTGCTTATGATACGTGACCAAACAAGCAACTTTTAGCATTAGGCAAAGTGACCAGCTGCAGGTAGGGCTGGCAAAAGTAAAAAAAGAATAAAGTCCCTCACTTCTTTCTTTGCATAAGAGCAAAACCAAAAGATAATTCTCTCTTCAACAAACTAAATGCTTTTACTGCAGACCTCTCATTATTAATAAATAAGGATTGAGGCCAAGTCTCAGTAAAATTTTGAGGAACTGCCCAGCCCTAATTGGATTGAGTGTCTGTGTCTGTTAACTTGTGGATGTAAATGGGAACCTGCAAAATCAAACTAGACAAATAGACATTGTGGTTTTCTTGGCAGACAAGGACAGCTGGTCATTGCTCTATAACAGCATGTCTCTAAAATGAAAGAATGTTGTCTTGCGTGTAAACAACAATAAGTACAAACAATATTGCAAGGCGCTTCCAATGACCATCACATGGCATGTCAAATAAATAACGGCAAAAACAAACAAAACAGTAAGCTAAAAACACATATTCATGGACAAAAGGACAAAATCTTCCAGTTTGTCGTCAGAGTGTCCCCCACCAGTGAGTTTGTCCTTCGATTTGTCCAGTGCTTTGGCATCATAGTTGAGCCGTGAGCGTGTGACCCAGCGTCCACAGCGCCAAACCCAGCAGCCACAGGGGCGAGGCCTGAGTGTGCAGCCTCAGAGGAGATGCACTGTCAGAGGTGCAGGAGCACACTTCGTAGCCGTTCTCCGCGTGGTCCGGGTGTCCGTGCACGTTCCCTCTGCTCTCGGGGCTTTTGGGCTCTGGCTCTGGAGAGTCCGACTGCATCTCCGTGCACAGCAGCCAGTCTTTAGCAATGAGCCGTGGAAAACCGGCCTCCGCCTCCATGTCGCTGCTGGGGACGCGCCAGTACTCCTTCCCCTTGAAGAAGTACGACGAACCTGAGAGACCACAACAGAGGAGAGAGTTTAGGAGAATGTGACACCACAGGCTGCAACGCAGTGAGAGAGAGTGAGACAGACTCACCCTCCTAAAGGCAATGAAACTACAGGGATGAAATATTAAACACACAGCAATATACAGAATTTAAATGAACAGCGGAGCTGTCTACCTTATGTCCTTTAGTCAATGATTTCTTTGTGGACTGATACAAAATTTGGTGAACAATTTTGATGACAAAATTTTGTAATATATGTTAAAAAAGTCTAGTAAAACTTTGATATTCAAGCCACAAAAAAAATTCATTTCAATTATTTAACCATACTGACTCATGAAATCACCACATTTCAAGCCAACATCAGAACAGAAATCACTCCAAAGGACTTAAATTGACAATTAGAATCAAATTAAGTTTTTGATCAACACAGAGCCACTGATGTTCTATTTGAGCTTTCCCTTTGAGAACAATACATAGTAAATGAATATAAAACAATAATGTGGTCTTTAAACAAGTATGAGTATGTACTCTTAGCATGCAAGATGTGTCTGTGTAATGCACCAGATTATAGCTAGACTGCTTCCATCTGCAGTCCTATCTCTCTTAATAACTTTAAATAGTTTCTTCTTACATACAATACACATACAATACAATAGGGAATACCTCTACAGATGAACTGTGGTTGTCCAGTCAAGAATTCCAAATAATGCTTTCACTATATACCTTTCCACCTCGATCTTTTAAACGATGGTGAGAAAGAACCAAATATAACATTCCAGAATACACTGCTTTACCCCTTCCCTGTTCCCCCTTTGAAGCGGCGGCACATGGTGCGTTTGAAGCAGGCACAGACAAAGTGGTGTTCGGGGACAAGCGCCCTGCTGAGAGGAGCAGAGGTGATGCCTATGATCTCCCTGGTCTGAACAGGCTCCCGGACAACCCCCGCTAATGAGGCTTTTACTCCATACAAGAAGTCATCAAAGTCCACAGCCACCTGGACAGAGTGGCTGGTAAACCACATACTTATTTATAGAGTTTAATCATTTAATTGGAGTTAACAAGAAAAAAATATATAGGATTATACACCTTAGACAGATTCAAATGACTTAATGCCAACAATATGAAAGAATGAAAGAATTGTAAGGGTACATGTACAGTTTATTATTCTGTTTTCTTAGAGCTCTTGCCTTGGAGCTGTTGTTTAGTTTGGTTATACATGTAAAATTAATGCTAAATATTTTGCCAAGCTTTCTGTCATAGACGGCAAAAAGATAAAAATACAGCATGGGTTCTTGAAACTTTTATGATGCAAAAACAACAAAGCAACATAAAAATATGTTTGAAAAGCTTCCTCGTTTTTCTGTAGGGGGCACTTAAGCGCATATTTCCATTTTCTCATGTTGAGTTGGTTTAGTGCAAGAAGTTTCACAGCTAATTAAACATAAAATGAACAAAAACGCTGTTGTCTAGGGAATATCCATGTTCTTCTTGTTGCTTTTCAATTCAAGGTGTCTTTTTCTTTTTCTTTGTTTGTGGCCGTGGTTATAATAGATTGTGTCAAATGTGTGAAATTGTAAGATTTGCTTTGCTAATTCCTAACGTATAATGCATTTTTTGTGTACATTTTATCCAAGCACACTCTTTGGGCCATATAAGTACCATAACAAATACATTATACAGGCATTCCTCATAGGTCTATTATAATATCTGGATAGGGTATTTCTAGCTTGGAGCTGAAGGACCCATGTGTTTGGGGGATTCTCGCGGTACTGCAGATTGAACCAGACTAAATTCACATGGGCTACCCAGACATTTTCCCCATAGAACTCAATGTAAATTAAAACAGCTCGACCTCAGCTGACAGAGAACCTGCAACTTTCAACTTTCAAGGTTGGATTTTGTGGGGATTTTAGTGTCTCTTGTCATCTTGAACTTTTTTTCTTCTTAAATCCTTCGGTTTTCTTTAAATCCACACTTTACTGCCACAAACTCTGCTCGTTTTTTCCCCTGCTTTGGATCCACTCTACTGCTGCTCTGATCAGCAGCTCTGACTGGTAAAAGCGCAGCCGAGCCCCTCTGTGCACGTGCATGATAGCCACACACACGTATTTGGCGCAACGCATCATGGTAACTCGCACACTGCAAAGTACCGGGAGTTCTGGTAATCTCTTGGTGCCCGTGGTGGTACATGCGCCACTGAGCACAAGCCATTGATTTGAATAAGACGCCACCTTGGATCGCCGGGGTTTGGCATTCCTTCACCATGGTGAGGGTCCATAGCTGGTCACTGATGGAATTACTTTGTCTATAAGGCTGAGTTTACACGGAGACAATGTGGCAGTAAAACGGTATAGTTGGATGTCGGTTTCTACCAACCGTTCATACGAAGACCGTGTTCCAGGGGGGTGAAAACGTAAGTGTTCAGATCCAGCCTGCAGAGTGGGACAACTCTGATACGCTGCACAGCGGGGGCTCTCTTTCACACCCGCGAGAGGGAAAAAGGTGTGAAATCCCCCTCTGCTCTGACCCCCACCTCCGCGCTGCTCCCTGCACGTAAATTTGGACATGCGCAGTAGCGGAGAACAAACGTAAACAACAATGGCGCCGCCCACACTAACTAGCTTCGTGGGCTTCCAGCGCGGCACAGAGGATAATTCTACTCCTTCGTTCGTCCAAACGAGACCACGCGAAGCTCTAGGTTCAGTTTCCATTTTCACAGCTGCTGTTAAAATGCAGAATAATGTTGGTACTTTCTGAGGGTCTGGCACAGGAAGTGAGTACACTGCCGAGAGGGGGGCTGGGCACGGGGCTGGGGGTCGTGTGAGTGTTGTAAAGTTTCTCTGCCCACTACTGGCCGGGCGCTAGAACTACATCGTTTTTCAACATCATGTGAACGCTGAGAAATTTGCATTAGGAGCCTGGTCGTTTCTGTTAATAGCCTGGAAACGTCTGCGCAGCGTCTCAGTATAAACAGGGCCTAAGTGTATAAATACAGTATTGTGAATGAATACTTTGGTATGAATACTTGCATGAAGTTGGTGATGGACAGATAACGAATAATTAAATCCCAATTAAAGAAGTTGTTCAGGATGTGTAAGCATGGGTCTGGTGAGAGCTGCTGTAATAAGCTGACCCACTGATGCCCTCTGGGGGTTCCACAAGAGTGCACAGAGCTGTTGTTATGGAGGTAGAAATAAACGTATAAAGAACATCTATTCAGAGCTTGACTGTGGGGAGAAGGAGAGGCAAGAGACACTGGCAGAGAAAGTTTAGTGACAAAACAGTCACTAAACTTTTGGTGAGAATATTTAATGGAAGTTATTTTTGTTTCAAATTTAGATTTTGTGTATGAATTTCAAACGTTATTGATTAAAAGTGGATTTGTGTGGAGACGCTGCAGCCACGTCCCTTTTAGAGCCGAGCATTTGAAAGAGAAGATATAATTGTGTCCACTGGCGCCCTCCAGGGCTGTGAAGTGCTGCCCACAGGACCACACACTCGGTCCTTTTGCCTCAGGCCTGACTCTGGAACTATCCACAACAACTAATGGGGACTTTTCAAAAGAAGAGATGAGCTTCCACAAAACTGAGCCAAGGTCATGAATGCGGCATGAAAGTGAAAGCTCACGTACTGCGTTTTCTTCAGGACATGCAGTATGTTCTTAGTGAATTAAAAAGGAATGTGCTTCAATGACCAAACAAAATTAAAACAATGAATATATATATATATATATATATATTAGGGCCGGGACTTTAACGCGTTATTTAAGATTAATTCATTACTCAAAAATTAGCCCGTTAAAAACACAGGGACCAGACCCAGACGTTACATGCAGGGAGATGATGATTGAGCGGAGTGGATGGATAAGGCCAGGCTAGGTTTTTACAAACTGTGAGCCAATTGATACCAGTATAACAATAAAGAATTGCTTTTTTTCACTTTGCATGTATGTAAAGTCTGGTATTAGTATCACATTTTGAGTGGAATTGTAGAAGTAAATGGACTTTTGAATGCTAATCTAATTTTAGCTCTAAGTTTAGCTTCTGCACTTAAATCGTTCATAGTATGAATATCTCCATAAGGATTTGATAGCATATGGTACACTAGACAACAAGTTGGCAGTATGTCATCTCCACAGATCTGACCTGTGACTTGGGCTGTTGAGACCAGACATATATTGGGAATAATCTGGACAAAGTCATAACATCTCTATGGAGACATTTTTAAGTTTTGTGATGTAACACTTCACACATTGGTTCACGAGCAGGATGGAGCAGGCTGTACAAATTGGCACGCAAGGCAAAAGTTTTGATCAGCGCCCTAAAAAATCTCCAACCCCCTCAACTTATTATTTTCAAAAAGTAGAAGAAATAATAAGCTCAGCATTGTGGTTGATAGGGAAATAATTCATTCTACTGTGAGCATGATTTAGAAATGGTTCAGACCTGGTTTGGACCCGAGTTATTCGTTATCAGTGTTGAGGAAGATTCTTTTAAGAAGTAACTCTTCTTGTTACTTGTTACTTCTTTTTACTCTTTACTTTACTTTTACATGACTTGTGTTACTGTTATTATGCTCGACTTTGAGCAGAACTGTTCGTAAATGTGTTGTGGAAGTTGATGATCATAACAGATAAATCTTTCATGCTCTTTAATATCAAAAACACCACAGAGCATGTACACATGGGTTTGCTGTATTTCGTAAACACAGCTCTCACTTGAGGGAATCGCTTTAGGACTCTAATTCTGAGCCTCATATACTCGAGTACCTCTGCGTCTGCGCTAAAGGACGTGGTCTCTTCCTCATAAAAAAAGTCAGCCTCACTGGCGCTGCTGTGTCGCACTTTACCTGCGGAGTGTTGCGTAAAGTGCGACACTCCGTGATCAGCAGTGCCACTATTAGCGGCTTTGTGCTTCACGTACCATGTGTCACATACCATGTGTCACGTACCATGTGTCACATACCATGTGTCACGTACCATGTGTCACGTACCATGTATCATGTGTCACATACCATGTGTCACATACCATGTGTCACAGACCATGTGTCACATACCATGTGTCACGTACCATGTGTCACGTACCATGTGTCACGTACCATGTGTCACGTACCATGTGTCACATACCATGTGTCACGTACCATGTGTCACGTACCATGTATCACGTATCATGTGTCACATACCATGTGTCACATACCATGTGTCACAGACCATGTGTCACAGACCATGTGGAAGGAGAACTGGTCGCGTGCGAGTCGTGATTAATCCGCAAGCCCCAGCAGTTGCGTGTCACAGATGTCAGACGTAAATAAAAATGTTACAGCGGGTCGAACAAGAAACAGCGTTACGTTACTATATTGTTAAGAGATAACGCGTTACTTTACTTTTCCCGGAAAAGCAGAACTGTTAGTGTAACGTGTTACTTTCTAAATCGTTACACCCCAATGGTTCTAGTACAGTTCTAGTTAATGCTAATTTAGTGCTGGAACAGGAATGGTTCAGAAATGGCTCAGATGGGTTTAGACCTGGTTCATTCCTGAATTAAAACCCAACACAAGTCTAGTCTAGTGTCTTGCCCGAGGACACCGGTGGAACGTAGCCAGCAACCTATGGTTAGTTTACTTCAGTTTAATTTGTTTGTGAAAGGAGCGGAAATGTGCAATGACAAAACACATGAAGAGTAAACAAACATAACTAGTGGATAAGAACTGATTTAGCCGAGAGGATATCGTTCATCTGACATTTCTTAGCGTTAACATGTTCTTTGTCATGATAGGATTTATCAGTTTAATAAAGAAGTATTTTGGGATAGTTTGGATTATTTAATATAAAGTATAAAGTTTAGACCAAAAAGTCAAATGAAAGTTGTGTTTTCAATGCAACCAGCCTTCTGCCCTTGACCGTCTGGAAGAAGGAGTTAACAGCTCAAGACACATTCATCCATTTTCTGCCTCGACACCACTAGATGCCACTAAATCACAGCCATAAACCAAACATTTCCTCCGGGCCCCTGAAATTAATTA